TCAGTCAATTGCAAAAGGCAGCTTTACTTGGAACAGCTTACATCCTGCGACGATACCTTTAGCACCATCAAACCATCAAACATCATCTGCCTATCCCAGGTCCTTGGGAAGGACTGGATGGATGGATAAAAATGCCAAATCCAGTCTAAACATCTGGCTGACTGTGCGACCAACCATCATCATCATAATCATCATTGCAAAAAGCAGCTACACTGGGAACAGCTTACATCCTGCGACGATACCTTTAGCACCATCAAACCATCAAACATGATCTGCCTATCCCAGGTCCTTGGGAAGGACTGGATGGATGGATAAAAATGCCAAATCCAGTCTAAACATCTGGCTGACTGTGCGACCAACCATCATCATCATAATCATCATTGCAAAAAGCAGCTACACTGGGAACAGCTTACATCCTGCAATGATACTTTTAACGGCATCCAACAACATCTGCCTATTCCAGATCCTTGGGAAGGACTTGATACGTGGATAAAAATGCCAAATCCATTCTAAACATCTAGCTGACTGTGTGACCAACAACCACAATAATAGGTTTAGCTTTAAACATTCCAAGTTTGAAAGACCAGTTCTGAATATTCTAAGCTTAGAACAAAATATTTATTTTATAATTACTATAAAAATAATGTCAAGAGGTATGCAGTAATGCAGGAAACAATGGGGAATTTTCTGTTAGTAGCCAGAAAACTTAATGCCATGTACTGTGGTACTTCAATACAAAATTAGCTGCTTGCCACTGCCTCTGCCAATCAGGTGGTAAATAGGAGAAAAGTCTGAACTGCTGCATTTGGCTTTTATTCAGGCCTCCCCAAAACTCAGCAAAGCAAAATAACCAGCTTTACTACTAATAAATTGTGACTTTGTTCTAACAGTAAACTATTTCCCTCTAGATATATTTGTTAGACAAGTCTTTCAAGTATTGTACATAGAATTCCACATACCGATGTTTTAGAAAAAAAGTTTAAACTTACACATATTGCAAAAATTACACTGCAATCCGTTCTCTGAACACTTGATCTGCATTGCAGGATTTAATTAACATCATTTAATGATGTGGACATTTCTTATTTACTGTTTTTACATAGTTTTAACTTTTTGCAAAAATAGCCCTTTGAGACCATGTGAGAAAGGTGGGCCAGAAACCTTTTAAACGTTTAATAACGTATCATTTTTTTTTCAATGCTCCACGTATCAGCTTGGATTCTTTTTACACCACTGGAAAACCAGGGCACATAAGATATAAATCGAATACTGAAATTTTTGAAAAAAACACCGATGTTCCAGTGACTTTGCATACACACAGTGTGCTTAAGTGCTGAACTTTATTTCCATGTCATACATATTTCACATAGAAAATTCTGAGAGAACAGATTTGTCACAAGCATTTGTCTTTCAGTACAAAATCTTGCAATATCCTAGCAACATTTTTATTATGGGTAGGAAATGGATTAGATGTATCAAATGGCCGTGAGTAAAATCCACTGGCCGTGTCCACATTGCTGAAGTCTTCTTGTGATGATATCAGCTTATCTCTTTCAGAGTAGTAGTTACTGTAGTGGCTTCTTCAGCCGTGCAGGTAGCTCCTTTATACCTACATAAATTGTATCTTTGGATCTCGAGAAGTGGTTGCAATGATGATTTCATGGCAGGTAACGGAAAAATTAGTTTTTGCAAATTAAAGTATCTACTCCTGACAAATATCAATCTGTCCAAAAGAAACTGTGGCATATATATTAATAGAAAAACAGCCACTTTTACCAGCCTACAAAACGAATTTTTAAAAATGCAACTGGATTATCAGGTCAAAAAGGCCACTGAGGCTAACTCTGTCATCAGAATCAATATAGCAGTCATTTTCAATTTTCTGGGTGTTGAAGCTGGATGCTGACTGCACTAAGGCAAACATGCTTTCCTATTCCCAGAGTGAAGATGCTAGCAAAAGAAAGTCCATATGGCGTATTATTTCAAGCCCAAGTCATTTAAACTATCAGAGATCTCTGTGTTGACCTGTGCTGAGGTGCTAGCTGGTAAGATGTTCAGAAAAATGTCATACTGTTGGTCAATTCCAAGATAACTGTCACTCATAAGATACAATGTGTAGATGTATCTGAAAGAGAGAAAGGACATTGGTTTTCATTTCCAAATCAATCTTCTTTCAAAATAATAATTAAAAAACCCACCCTGTGTCATCTTACTTTCCAGGTGTTTCTGGGGTATAAAAAGCAACTGAGACCACATTCTGATTTCTGACATAGCCAACTCTTTTCAGAGCCACCAGCTCTTTTTTGTCTACTTCTCCTAGGATCACGAACCATCCCTCATCCTTGATCTTAGAGAATCGAGGTGCAACTGCTTTGGTATCTTGCTTACCCTGAAAGGAAAAAAATATAATTTAAGACACTCACCTATATAAATGTATTCTTCATATTCAAATATAAAATGCATAAACGGCTGTTCTTCAGGAACATTGGCTATATTTGATGTGAGGAATAGTCAAGAGATACTACGAGACTGGAAAAGTATTTGTTACTCCAAGTTCTTTAAGACTGAATTCAAGAAATATATTACATCAATTTCTGAAAAAGCCATTTTTTCTATTAGTAAAAAATGATACAATATGTTACCATTTTCATAGATTTCATAATATTTTAGAAGAATAGATAATTTGTATGCATAATTTGATGTACTGTTATTAAATGAATATGTGATATAATTAGTTGATTTATGTCAATTTACTATGTCAATTTTTTAGGGGTTTGTTTATTTTTTATTTTTCTTTTGTTTGTTTTGGTATTCTAACTTAACTAATTGATTTGTTGGAGGTGTATTACTGTGTTTTAATTTGTTTCTGTATAATGTTTTCTCTGTGTTTCTTTTTAAATATTGCAATAAAATTATTTTTAAAAATACATAAATGTGATACATGTACAGTGGTACCTTGGGTTACGAACGCCTCTGTTAACGAACTTTTCGGGTTACGACCAGCTCCAGCCCCCAAAATTTACCTCGGTTTGCGAACTCCGCCTCGGGTTACGAACCGGATCCGCGGCCATTTTCCCTCCCGTGACATGGTCCGCAGCCATTTTTCTGCCCCTGACACATGGTCCGCGGCCATTTTCCGCCCCTGACACGTGGTCCACGACCATTTTTCCGCCCTGACACGTGGTCCGCAGCCATTTTTCCGCCCCGACACGTGGTCCGCGGCCATTTTCTGCCCCTGACACGTGGTCTGCGGCCGTTTTTCTGCCCCTGACACGTGGTC